TTGGCAACTTCGATTTCTTTCGGACTTCGTGTTTGGAAATTTAAGTATCGAGCACGGTAGATGAAAATAATTCAAATAAACGTGCATATTGTTGGAATACACTGTTAATATATTGCACAAAATGCACAAACTAAATAGAAAAAAAAGTGTAGGTATATGTCACAGGCGTATCGAGTAATTCGGCATTTTGCAAAAAGACTAGACATTGTTGAATATGCGGGCCCAAGTTTTTCCTGCTAATTTCCTAATATAATAATCCCATCTCAGGTTCGGTCTGCTTCTAGGTCTCTTAATTCCTTGTGGGTACCATGCTGTAATTTGTGTGGTCCATCTGTTGTCCGTTCTTCTTGCCAGGTGTCCTACCCATTGCCATTTGAGGGATTTGACTCTGTGGATGACATCTATTACCTGGGTCTTTTGTCGTAATTACTCTCTGATTTTACGGTCTCTCTTGGTTAACCCCAGCATATTTTGTTCCATTGAGCTTTGTGCACCTGCAGTTTCCTTATGATGTCCATTTTAAGTGTCCAGGTTTCGCATGCATAGATCATGACTGGTACTACATATTGGTTGAATGTTTTCTTCTTTAGATAAAGTGGCATTCTATATTTGAATATGATTTAGTTTCTTCCATAAGCACTCCATGCTAACTTAATTCTTCTGTCGATTTCTGGTAGGTGAGATCTCTAACTGTGTATTAGTTGTCCCAAATATATATTTTTTTCTACTATTTCCAGGTTGTGTTGTTTATTAGAATGTCTTTTCTTTCCACTAGTTCGTTGTACATTACTTTATATTTTCCTAAATTCATTTTGAGACCCACTTTATTGCTGGCTATATCAATAAACAATTAGCGATGTAATGGTTTTTGCGCGCGCTGGCCGACTGCCGCCGCTGCGCCGAGATTTCCTATACCCTTGTATATATGACGTCATGGTGTGGCAAATGTAGCATTTTAATTCGATTTGGGCTCCCTTATATAGGATAACAGAAACATTTTCAATGTTAAAAAAAAACAGGCGATTGCCGACAACCGCCGACTTGTGTCTGGTATGTTCAATACGCCTATGATTGTTGCACATGTTGCAAAATCTGTGAATTTTTTTCAAATAGTACAGTATCCGGCTGCATGATTATTACGCTCATGCTATTTTTAATCAAAATTTAATTTTTATGTATATTTTTTTCACAGTGTGTCTATCAAAAAGTTGCGGCAACTATGTTTAATTAATAATAATTATGATTTTGGAGACCACATTACGCTAATAAAATGTTTTGATCATTTATGTTGAATTAAATCTAATTTTATTCTGTGCATGGTGATTAAGCAAATTATGTTTAAAACTAAAATCCACTGGAAAGTTGGATTTTCTTTGAATTCTAGGCAGCGGCAGTTGACAAAGTCTTTTATTTTTTAGATTTCTACCATACTAACCAATTTTTGAAGTTATTTGAATTTATTTTTACTTAAATATTTAGTTATTATTTTTTTTTCTAAATTCATGTGGCCACAATTTGTGAGTTAATTACATAAAGCACATACAATCTTAAAAAATGAGAAAAAATAGCCACCAGGAGCGCGTTTCATGTAAAACTTCTTTAGGGAATAATAAAATGTCGGGTCAGGCTCGTAGCAGTAAAATGTATGCATTATGGGAATTAATTTATAGCGCCGTAAAAATAAAGTTACTGCAAGGCACTCAATATTATTCTTTATATTATCTGTAATATATTATATCTTTGTAAAAGATTATTATAAAATCAGACACATGATTTAGAGGGTTTAGAGTCAATTTACATCAGATGTGACCAGGAAATTCATATTCAAAAATTAATTATTTGATTTATATGAACGGTTTCATTAGTTTGTTATTATTATAATACAAAAAAAATTCTTCAACAATAACAAGTAACAAAAATTAAAAAGAATAGTATATCAATGGTATAAAAAATAAAATGCTGTATTTTAATCAGTATGACTAAAGCAGTTGCTTTAAAGCTAGAAAGACTAGCTATTAAGACTAATAAGGAGAAAAGTTACAGGAGCTCCATCATCATCATTATTTGCAGCTTATTCAACCATTTCCAATTATAGTGGATACGTAGCCTATGAGGTATTGATCAGTACGTAGCCTCCCTCACATACTATCTTTGTAGTTGGACCCATTGCATTCTATTGTTGGCTAAGCGGATCCAAGTTATACCTGCTAATTTCCTAATATCATTGTTCCATCCCAGGTTCGGTCTCTCTCTAGGTATCTTAATTCCTCGTGGGTACCATTGTGTAATTTTTGTGGTCCATCTGTTATCTGTTCTTCTTGCCAGGTGTCCTGCCCATTGCCATTTGAAGGATTTGACTCTGTGGATGACATATACTACCTGGGTCTTTTGTCGTAACCACTTTCTTCTTTTACGGTCTCTCTTGGTTATTCCCAGCATCATGGTCTTTCCACTCTGGGGGCAGCTTTTATAGTTCTATATCCCGCCAGAGGCGCAGCGGTCGCAGCAAGAATTGCAGGTACTTTAATTTCAAATATTCTCGCCCAGTAAGAACAATGATGGTAATTAAACTTCTTGTTTCCTGTTCCTCCATTGTTCCTCCTCCACTTTAGTTTACCATTTTGTAAAAGAGGCGGACAAAGATAAATTTTAGCTTTCAATGTATCTTTTTTTAAATAAGGAGTGTGTTGATCGAAAACTATCGATTATGTTTCATAGTTTTTAGTGCGGTTTATTAAGGATGTACGATTTGCCACCGTTGTGTTTTTGGTTTGCGTGAAATAAAATTTTCCATCATCATGCCATCACTTTGTGGTGTTTCGAAGTGCTTAAAGAATGACCCGAAAGATCATTTTCGCTTTCCGAATGCAAAAAATAGTTTGCCCGAGTTTGTTATTTCGGTGATACGCAGTTGAAACAAATTTTTGGAAGACCACCAGAGAAAATTTTTAAAGCTTATCGACATTTTACAACTGAAGATTATACTTTTAATGGCCAATTAAAATATAAAACACTTCCGACAGTAAACTTGCCAGGTAGATTTAGTTATGAAAGCGCATATTTAATATGTTAATAGTTTATACAATTTATAGAAGCGAGTGAGGGGTTACTGTATCAGACGTACTCTACGATGGAAAAATTTATATGAGGTTCAATATATAAATATTGTGTTGTTTTACTAATTATTCTCAAAAGAAATTAATTTAAGCTACTAGCTCTAGTTACTCCTAAGTTTTGTCTTTTAATTTAAAAATAAAACTTAGGTTTAACTAGAACTTGTAACTTAATAGTTGAAATCTGATTATAAAAATGGAAGGAACAGCGAAAACTGTTCCTTATCCGAATAAGTTCCTGTCTCCAGAATAACATGGGAGTGGGCAATTTAAAGTTATCTATACCCAGCATATTTTTTCCCAGTGAGTGTTGTACGACCTGCAGTTTCCTTATGATGTCCGTTTCATGTGTTGAGGTTTCGCATGCATAAATTATGTTTTTTTTCTGGTAGGAGGTCTATAATCAGTTTTCTTAAGGGCTCTATAATCAGTTACAATTTAATAAATTTAAAGTACAATAAAATACAAGTCCCCCGCCCCTTTCCAAGTTCGATTACCGAAGTTTAGCAACGTTAGACGATGTGGGTGATTGGACGGGGAATGCTTGAGAACTTCCATCCTGACGTACCAATTCAAGTGTGAATAATCTATTGAGACCCATTGCTCATTCATGTCGGCTAAAGACAAGATGAGATGAGATATTTCATGAATAAAGAGATTTAGATACTCGCTAAGTTAATAGCATAGAGAAAGTAATAAAAAGAGAGAAGCATTTGCATAGTAAAAATTAGAAGCGAACTCACTAGCGCTGCTGTGTCAAAAGGATAAACTAACCTTGTGGCGAACGCATGCCGTCAAAAGTTGAATTTGATATTATTTAAATGCCGTGTGATTAAACATTTTATAACATAATATTATTATTATATTATTTATCATAATCTTGTTATTTTAAATTAAATGAATTTAAACTTGGATTCTAGACACTGTTTTGTTGTTGAATGTTGAGCTAAATAATATTATTTACTCTGTGATGTGGGCAAGTAATTTTCAAATAGCAAATTGACAAATTCAATTTTCGAAGATAAAATAGTTAAAATGTGTTAACAAAAGTTTCAACAAATACCAATGAAACGAAAATTTAAAGAAACTAATAAAAATGTCAAATTGCTTATTAATCATAGTATATTAATGCATAATTAAACCCTTTAGTCTAAATGCAATCAAAAATGCTAACAATTTAATGTAATTGTAACGTAATCGTGTTAATTAATGCGTAATAATATATATTAACAGTCGACGTCCTAATAATTTCACTCTTAGTACAGCTTTTACAGCTGCTTTTAGAAGAAGCTGGAAACAAAAAGTCAGCCGAAGCTCAATTTCTATAAATTTAAAGCATCTGAGTTGCCACACAGGAAAATAAAAATAGCGTGCCAGTTGCCCTAATTTAATCTACCACTCTCTTTTTATTACCTTTCTCTATGCTTGATATGTTATTATATCTGAGGATTGCTGTTCTAAACCCGGGTAAACAAAGTAGGCCCCGTCCAGATTAGCCCTGACAGCAAAAAGATACGCTAACTCAAAGTATACTTTACTTTCCTTTGATTTAGTTTTTCAGCCAGTTTTTCAAAAACTATTTTAATAATTATAACTGTATTCTAAAATTAAAAATGGAATGAATATAAATGATTAACTATTTGTAGAAAATAATGCTAAAAATAGTTATGCTTTCATTATGTTAAAGTTTAGTTATAGAAATACGAATTATTTCCGAAATATTTAAAAATGTATTTGAAATCTTGTTCATACCATATCCCAGGTCTGAATGACTTCATATTTTAGCAGTAGCATATCCAATTTTTATAGCTTCAACTTATCTCGTCGGCAAACAAAGACATGTTATTTACTCTTTGATATAAGACGGCAATTAAAAAAATCTCACTTGTCGTAATCAAGGTGTCTTTGAAAGCAGTTTTCGTCTTAGTTTGTCAAACATCATTAGTGCTGTGTCTTGCTCATGTGATTAGTATAGGTGTGTACCATTTTTATTAATATTTCCGTTTTATATGAAATCCGGATATGATGTGCGTATTATATGAAATTTAGTAGAACAACTATTACAACTGTTACTTTTCTTCTCACTTTATAAATAGCAGAAATGCAATATCTAGTCAAAAATTATAATAAACTATTTTAGGTGTTAGCTGTGAATTTTTATTATATTATCACACAGGTACATATTCATATACCTGTATGATCTTACACTATTTCTTAGAGTAATAACATAACTTAGAGTAAATAGCATAACTAAAGTTAAAGCATGTGATTTACTTGTGGGATTAATTACATATTAGTTACTGTAAATATTTTTAATTAAAACGTTTAGTATAGACTTACGATATGTAGTTATATAAATGAATATACACTATTCAAAACAGTTATCGCATATTTGAATAAAAGTAATTATTACATATTTCCAAATGAAGCAGGCATTTTTCTGCCTTTCGCTTGTGAGTTCTTAGGATACATAGTGTACGCACTGCGATGTAATTTTTAGTCGGCCGACTATTTAGTTGCAAAAGTAAAAACAATACATTCTTATATAGAGCCGATCAACCCAATATTTGATTGCATTGCGTAGCCTTAAGCAAGTAGAATTATCTTTGCCTTAAGCTATACACTAACTGGCAATTTCTAATCGGCCGACTATTTAGTTGCATATTTGTATATATCATATCCTTATGGAGCCGCGCTCACATGCAATCAAATAGTCGGCCGATCGGTTCTGTAAGTACCTATGTATCGTTTTCATTTTGCAACTAAACAGCCGGCCGACTACAAATACTATTTAAAAACGTAAGTCAGGGAATTCAAAGTGTCTTGTTTTTAGAATAAATATTTTTCTTTAGAAAATATGCGATAATTGTTTTGAGTAGTTTATCATACAGGGTGTTTCAAAAAACATGTACCATCTCTCGTGTGGAAATTTCTGACGTTAAAACAAGATTTATTTTTTATATAAACATAGGTCCGATTCTGTTTTGTTTCGTAGTTACAGAGGTTTAAAGTAATTTTTTTGGGATTTATTATAAATTTCTTGCTGCTTTTGGGTGCTTATATAGCTTATTATAGCTAAAAGCACTTTGCTGCTTAAAGTGCTTTTAGCTATTCGAATGAAATTTTGAGAGTAAAAGTTACTATAAGTGCGACAAATTTTAACGCTAAGATTATTTTTCTAAAAAAAGCTGTGCGCCACTGATTTTTATTCTTATTAGCTAATTTGTGTATGCCGTTTAAATTCGATTTCGATCTCCTGTGATGAGACAAAATTTTATTAATCCCAATGAATAAAATTAAAATCAAATGGATAAATTATCTATTTAATCTAATTTATTATTAAATTTTATGACATTGATGTTCAGTGTTACCTACAGCAAATTCAAACGAGAAAAACATAATGGTATTTAAAATAACTACAAATTACTTATTTCTTAATGATTTAACATCCTGTAATTTTAAAACGAAGCATTTCCGCACCTGTGTTCATAAGGACTTTTTTATATTTATTTGTTGAGGAATCAATGAGTACGACAAAATCTCAAGAGACACCTTTAATAAGCATCAAACAGCCAACCTAACTGTGTAAGCAAGGGAAAAAAGTCAGTGGCTCACAGTTTATTTCAGAAAAATATTCCAGTGATAACGCATATGCACGTCCCTGCATTGTGATTCTGTCGACACTTTTTTAGCATTAATATACATATGTCGCACTTATAGTGACTTTTGCACTCAAAATTTCATTCGAATCGCTAAAAACACTTAGAAGACGTATAATAAATCGAAAAAAATATATACTTTAACCTCCTGTAGATACAAATCAAAGCAGAATCGGAACTAAGTTGATATGAAAAATAAATCATATTTTTAAGCGAGAAACATCCCCAAGAGATAGCACATATTTTTTCAAACGCCCTGTATAAATTCTTAAATAATTTCTAATATCACCATTAAAAATAAATAGAGATAGTCTTTTAACTCTATGAGATGTCATATAATTCTTTGTTTCTTAACAACTGTTATATACACAGTAACGTAAAATTCATGGAAGAAAATATTCCTGAAATAATAATTATTATTTTTAAAAAAATGCTATATAAATAGTTGTAATTGGATAATTTTGTGGGTAAATAGTGAACAATGCAACTCTTCTTTTTATGCGTGTTCTTCAGTTTGAGGATACTAATAGTATCTGTTTATTTTGATAGCATATCTCTCTTCATATTATTCATAAAGTTAACGATAATAACATGAATTTGGTCATCATTCTCCTGAAAAATATTTTTATTTTGAGTCACTTTTAGATAAATTCTCAAAATACGATTATACAAGGTGTCCCAGAATTAAGTGCAAGTATTTTAAGGGGTGGTAGATCTCGATGAAAGAAACATATTTTCTCTTTATCGTTTTTCAAATAAGTCCAAAATAACGGAGTTATTTTACTTTGAAAATTTCCAAAAAAATGATTTTTTGCTAAAATTTTGAGAACCACTGCAAATTTTCTGGATTTTCTTTCTTGTAAATTTAATCTAATACCTATGTTGCCATATTATTAAGAAATTATGTTTTTTTTTAACCAAATCTAAAAAAAAATCGAATTTTCATATTTTTTTTCGCGAAAAACGCGTTTCTGGGGTTGAAATATACTACCAGTTAAAATACTTGTACTAATTTCTGGGACAACCTGTATATTCAATGAGAATATGGTTTTTTAGTTAAGTAAATAGTATCGAACTAGAAACTTGCCCAAAATACCGGGTGCGTCTCAAAAGGGGCTCACCCCTATAACTTTTTTATTTTTCAGATAAGAAAACGAGATTTGGTATGATAGTATATGACATGAATTAGGATTGATTGACGTATTCAATTGGTTTTGGTTACTTCCTCTTTCACCGGAAATGACTACAACTTTTGATTTTCACCTTTGGAATTGCATTAATGCCAGCCTTGGTATTTTTTTACTTTATTCGTTTTTACTTTATTTATAAAGAATAACATATCATATATCAACTTTTGACATTCTCGCTTAATAAAAAATTGTATTTTAAAATATAATCTAGAGTGCCATGGCTATCTTTAAAACACTAATTCTTAATAAAGGAGCCTTGGAAAAATAACTTTGATCTTCTAATGTTTTTAGTATCTTATCCTGACCAGTTAGAAAATGCTCAAATCGTATTTTAATCATATCTCAATTTTTTCAAATGGAACGAGGGTGGCTCAGTGGCCTATAATTTGATACCACACATAAGCGAATAATTTGATACCACACACTTAATATTTCGAGTCAAATTTTCGTTACGAACTGCAAGTTATAATTTCAAATAAACTATTTGGAAAATGTCAAAAGTTGACATATGATATGTCATTCTATTCAGAGTGCTATTTTCTATCGAATAAAGTAAAAAAATACAGAGGTTGCCATTTAAAAATCAAAAGTTGTAATCATTTCCAGTGAAACAGGAAGTGACCGGAAACAATTTAATACGTCAATCAATCCTAATTTAAGTCATATATACTAACATACCAAATCTCGCTTTTTTATCTGAAAAAATAAAAAAGTTCTAGGAGTGAGCCACTTTTGAGACGCACCTGGTATAATTAATTAAAATAATAATAAAAATAATAAAACACTAAAATAAACTTGCCCAATAACAATAATTGTGACATAATTGTCATTGTCACCAAATATAGTCTTTTTAATACGGTGTTGATTTAGTTTGGTTTTTATTAAATTAACCGTGTTTAAATGTATTAGAGCAATCTTTGGCTGCAAATTGACTTTTCGGATAATTTTGATTTCGACCAATTTTTTTCGGGCAATTTTTTTTCGGTCAGTTTTCTTAGTTTCTTATATACAATATTTAGTAGCCGATTATTTATGTGCTAAGGAGAAAACAATATGAAACATCAAGTAGCAAAACCCGCCTTATTTATTTAAAAAAATGGCCTAATGATATATATTAATAGTAGATAGAATAATAACACTTTTTAAGCAAACTTTTTTAGCATTAAGATATGTCGCACTTATAGCAACTTTGACCACCAAAATTTCTTTCGTATCGCGAAAAGCACTTGGAAGAAAATTATAATAAATCGAAAAAAAATGAAGACTTTAACCCTGTGTAGTTACGATACAAAGCAGAATCGAATCTATATTAATATGGAAAATACATCTTATATTTACGACAGGAAGTCGCCCACGAGAGATGGCACATGTTTTTTGAAATATCGTGTATAAAATTCAGTACAAATTACCTTACTGCAGCAAAATCCGTTCTATCCACTTATATTGCCTTATTGTCATTATTTTTGCAAATCCCGCATTTTTTCATAGGCTTTTTACACAAATATAATTTTACTACTGAGATCTTATCCCTCACAAATCCTTACTTAATTTTAATAAAATAGCATAGGTACCTAATAATTACAAGTTAGAATGCAAATATCTTTCTGTAGCTAAACTCGCAATATGCATCATACTGCAACCAAACCTGCCTTCCGAATTATTTTTTGTAGGTTTGTTTTTGAAGGTGTTTTTTTCTCTTTAAAAATGAAATAATTTAAAAATAAATTAATAAAAATTAAATATTAAATTTTATCTCTACAAAAACCAATATGAAAACAATGATTCGACTAAATGAACACGTTTTTTGTAAAATAACGCTTCAAACATTTGCGAAAACAGTTTTTGAGTATTATTTGGAAAAAGCGTTATTAGGATAAGACGGGGTTACAACTTGACGCCTCATATACTATACTTATGATGCTGCGCATATATGCAATCAAATAATCGGTCCATCCGCTTCATATAACAAGAGATTACGTGGGCACACACGAGAGGTATTTTAAAAAGCTCCGTCCTGCCATTTTGCGGTAAAAGATTCGGGATGGAGAAGAAAAAAAATGTGTCATGGTTTGTGTATGCGGGAAATTGTTGAATTTGCGGGAAATTGAAAAATATAAGTCGATCTGTATATAAAAAATGGGTCCACTAAAGACAAAAATATGGTCAAATGTCATTATTTCGTGAAATTTTAAAAATTATCTGCTAAAGAGTACTTCAAATTCTTCTTAAAAAGTTTACAAGCTCATTATAAGCTTGCATCTTTACGTTTTTGTTTAAGCAAAGTTTATCTCTATTTATTTTTTATAAACAAAGTCTTTGTCGATACATTTAAAATAATTCAAAGTTTCTTTTGTCTGCTCCATATTTAATAACACGTAATTAATTAAAAAATTAAATACACGTAGGCAAAGGATCTTACCCCACAGCGCACACTAACAGGCAGATATTTAAAATTATTTATCTCATCGATACAAAACCCTCAAAAGATCTAACATTTAAGCGGCATCTACCTTTATAGAGCACTAACGTGCGGGTTAATAGGAAGAATTGATCCGTGAGAGCAAAAATCTGCTAAAAATACCTCTCGTGTGTGCCCCGGCTATTGTTTTTAATTTTGCAATTAATAGTCAACCCATTCGAGCTCTTAGCCTATATGTATTATTAATTTTTATATAGAAATATGTTATTTATTTATTAAGAAGAAACAATACATTTCTTATGATTTATATAAAAAAATCTATAAAGGATACTTGTAAAATACCTACTAATTTTTTCTATTGTTTTATTTCAGCTGGAGCAAGAACTGATTGGAAAAATGAAACTAGTAATTTCTGTGCTGCTCTCTTTAATCGTCTCCATACAAATTTTTTCTTCACAAACAACTGACAGTAACAACACAAGCCACGATTACATCGTTCAGCTCAAATATCAAGTATCGGAAGCTAAACTACCCACCTATGTAGTGAACCTCATCTATGACAGCTCCAATAACGTATCAATCCCACCTAAAGATGTTCTTGATCTATTCAAAGCCAACAGCCTCACTATCAATTCGACTCTACAAATTCTCACTTCACTAAATATATCGTCTAGCGTTGTTTTCAGTACAGACGGATTAAACAAAACCATTGAATTTTTAAATATTACATTTACAGATTTTTATAATAACGTTAGGTCTGGATTAAATATATCTGGATCTTCTATTAGACCAGCCTTGGAAGCTCTGGGAATTGATGCAAATGCTTTTTCAGATGCCATAGCCTACGAAACTGAAGACCCGTGGACTCTGTTTGAAAAAGGAAATTTTACTAAAGAGAATGTTGAAAGTGCTTGCAACTTAACTGGTATCACAATCGATGATCTATTTAGCTACATTAGAAACCTTGTTTATGACAACGTGATATTAACAACAAACCTTACGAACCTACTTCAACGATATTCTATTAGCAAGCAGGAAGCCCTGACTATCTGGAATGCGCATGGAATCTCTTCGGCAGATGTAAACAATGCAATATTGTTTAAAACTTTAATAGATGACGTTACCACTAAGCTAAATAGCAGCGTTGCTTTAGGAATATTTACACAACTCCAAGAAGTTTTCGTATCCGTGAACAAAAAGAGCTACAACTTCTTTAAATCAGCTTTGGATTTAGTTATAGTTCAAGCCGACTCAGTAAATACTAACAATTCTTATACGCTTATCAGTAGTAGTATTAATGATACTGCTTATGATAACATCGTTCTTCTACAGCGTAGTGAATTGTCTCCTAATGATAACGGTACAATTCCGACCATAGAAGTGGGATATAGCAACCAAACTCTATTAAACTGTAGCTACGTGACTCTACAAAATAACAGTATTTTTTCTGTTAATGTACCAGAAGCAGTTTATAACAACGATACATATGAAATTTCATCTAATGTTACCAATAGTGTTATCGAAGGTAGTGCGCTTATTTGCAATGCTACTGTGTATGGACTTGCCAGAGAAGCTGCCAACGATACGATAATAATCGACTTGTTCAAAGTAGCTGTTCAAGAAGAAAATAACGACGCTAGTTCCGTAAAAATATCTTTAATTAGTTTGACCGTAATTTCAGTATTAATCCGTCTATTTTAAGTTCAAAATTAAAAGAAAAAATAAAAGTTTCATGTTAATTCATATCATTAATATTTGCAGAATATTGTATTGTTCTATTATCATCCGTTGTACAGTATTTACAAATTTATTTATTTAATTGTATTCTTTATGGTGTAACTATACATATCTATAATAAATTTCTAAGATTAATTTGTATATAGTAGAGACGGTATAATTGTGTCAAATCAAGGAAGATACTTATCTACAAGAAATAAAATATTTTATTTTTCAAAATGTTCTGTTTTGTTTCAAATACCTGATTTTGAGTACAAGCATCTGTTGCAGCCGGAAGAGATATTTATATTACACTTAAATTTTTGTTTCCATAATATTATTATATCTTTAATAATTGTGTTATTTATTGATTTTGACATCTATTAATTTCGGTTAAAAAGTTTAATAAATAAACAGATTTTCATCTTAATTTATTATTATTTATCATAACTGTATAGATAAAAAAAATATTTTTTGATATATTTAGAAAAAGTGTCATATAAATTAGGACGTTTACTATATTTTTAATTAAAAATAAATTCAATGTTGACTTTACATAATATATAATTTGCTTGTTAATATTTTTAAAAATAATTTTCACTTTGTACAGGGTGTCCCATTTTGGTTGAAATCATATGGTATCTCCGTTATTAGTGAAGATAGAAGGGTGCGGTTTGCACAAACCTCTGCCACTTTTTTGTCAAACGGAAAAAGCCGTATACAAAATTTTCATAGCTCTCTTTGTTTCTGAGCTACAGGGTCTTTTTGAAAATTTTGCAATTTGGGACACCTCCTGTATCTCTGTTATTGTTAAATCTATCGAGAAGGTAAAAACTGTTTATTGTAGAACTTTTTACGTAGAATACAGCGACGTAGTCTGTTGTTCTACAAAAAGAATATTTTTAAAGATATGAACTAAAGTTATGGTTTCTTAAATGGAATACCCTGTAAATTTATGAATTAAATGATCGGACTTGCCATAAGCTTCTCAAAAATATATAACACTCTATATTTATTTTCATTATTTAATGCAATATTTAAAAAAAATATATATTGAAAGATCATATTTATTAGTAGTCCATGATTGATAATAAAAGAAACTAAAGAATTATTAAAAGTAATACAGCTATCTGTCTCTTTTTTTATTTTGAGAGCCACTAATTAATTCTTTGTATGTTAGGGAAACTTAAATCTCTACCGCTATTTGTAAATCTTGGAAGCTATCTTATTGGAACTTTTAAATATTCCTTTAGCTAATTTACGTGAAATATAGTTTCAGCAAGATGGGGCTCCCCCTTACAACTTAACTTACAACGAAAAGATTAGAATTTTGCTAAATTATTATTTCTCAAATCAATGAATTGGAACCAATATACCTATGGGTACATTGGCATATGTGACGACCTCCGTGATTCCCGGATTTGTCCGTTCTCGATTTCTGATTTTAGGGATTTTTGAAATATGAAATATATCGTGGCAACTAATACAATGTCGAACACCTGGAAAATGCTTTAATAATGCAAGCTTTTAGATATTTGCAAACCCATCCCATTATAATAAATTCCGTTATAAAAAGAAAAAATATATTCAGAGGTTCAGTGGTAACAGTTCAAAAGTAAAATATATTAATCCCAAATAAAATTTTAATATGTGTATGTCTATTTTAATAAATACCATTTTGATTTTGTTATTTATCACGGCCTATTAACAAGAAAATGATATATTTTAAATATTGCAGTAAATATTGAAAATAAATATAAAGTGATATATATATATATATATATATATATATATATATATATATATATATATATATATATATATATATATATATATATATATATATATATATATATATATATATATATATATATATATATATATATATATATATATATATATATATTTGAGAAGCTCATGGCAAAGCGGATCATACGATTTATAAATATACAGGGTGTTCGATTTAAAAATATATAACTTTAGTTCATATTTTCAAAAATATTTTTTTTTTGTAGAAAAACAGACTACGTCGCTGTATTCTACGTAAAAAGTTCTACAGGAATCAGTTTTTACCTTCTCGATTTCATCTATAATAACGGAGATACGGGGGCTGTCCCAAATTGCAAAATTTTCGAAAATACCCTGTAGCTCAGGAACGAAGAAAGCTATGAAAATTTTGTTGACAGCATCTTTTGTTTGACAAAAAAGTGGCACAGCTTTGTGCAAACCGCACCCTTCTATCTTCACAAATAACGGAGATACCGTATGATTTCAACTAAAATGGGACACCCTGTACAATACCTTGAAAACATATATTAAATATTTTATCTACATGTGACTGGATTTTTTCCTTCAGTAGGCTCACTCTATACATAAATATAATAAAGAAATAAGCTTACTGTGTAAATCAAATAAAGGTGATATACCCACATATAATGACGTATTAAGCTGTTTTTCAAATTTCAAGGAAACCTTGAATTTTCTAAATCTGATAAAGATGTAATCTCAACGAACATAATTTATAAGGTCTTATGCGTACTTTAATAGTTGGAATAGTGCCAATAAAATTAACGATAAAGCTGGAAGTGTAATTTATTATTTTATATATAAAATGTTAAATTGTTCAGAAGCTAAATGGTTATTTCTTTTCTCAAAACATTAAGTACTGCTATTATTTAAATTTAATAGAGATATGTAAAGGGGGGGATAGTGTCTTACTAACAAAAATGTACAACTACTTGTCTAACTTAAAACCAATAAATATATATGTAACAATAATTTATATGTTATTTTTAAAATAACATATAAAAAAATTGAAACTTTACCAATACTTCAATATCTTATATTTCAAAAAACGTTTCGATAGATCCAAAATGTTTTAGACACTCTTTGTAGAATTTTAATTTACTTGTATTTTATACTCCACTTCCATTCTAATGGCCTAAAATGAAGCGCTTCTTTAGTTAACTGCAGTTATCTTGCCAGCCAGCACATTTTATACGTGACGGTATTGTTAACAGCTAAGGAAATTGCTGAGGGAACGTAATATGGCTGATTTAATCGTAACGTGACTTCGTAATTTATGTGGAGATCATGTAAGAGCTGTTTTATTTCTAGTAAAAGATATTACAAAAAATATTCTTAGAAGTTTGAATGACCAGTTAAATATGATAACAATTTTATTTTAATTTGAACATAACTCCTTGTTACACCAATAAACTACAGAAATCAACCACGATGCACCAAAATCCAAGATACTAATATATTTATTTATTTTTTATCATCAGCAGTTAGAAAAATTAGTTGTCATAATTTTAGCTTTAAGGAAGAAGTGAACCTATATCTTCACAGAATTAACTTTGTTTATAAATGGTAAACTAAGCTGAAAATACATAGAGTTATCTGTCTATTGCATATTCATTAGATATTTGCTTATATCCTGTCAATCCTGTGTTTTAGCGTACCTACTAGAATATGACAACATTCAAAATATATACGCATACGTGCGAGGTATGTTGACATTAATTGAATTAATTCATTTTATACAATTATCTTGTGGATTAATAAGTCATGTTCCGTTAAATTGATATTTACTTAATCTACATTTTTATTATTGTTGTAGTAGCTGAAGATAAGAAAATAAATTTGCATCTGATAATATTAATAGTACCCTTGTATAAATAAGGATAGTACTAACTTATTTAAATATTCTTTTAATCATTACTTTATCCGACAAACTTTTTATAGATTTTATTTTGGTTTATATATTATTTCATAAAAGACAATGCGATTCGTTTTAAAAATATTCTTGCTTTTGATTAGAAAACGAATTTTATCTTTGAATCTAAAGAATTCATAAGAAACTATTTTATAAATAACAGAGCTGAAGATATTGTCAAAGTTTACAGAGAATTCTAATTCTGTAAATTATGATATTCTTTACTGGTGTCGCCATCTAGTAAAGAAAACCGACGATTTCGTTATCGAATTTATCAAATCAATATCAGAGAAACTAAAGGTGCCTGTAAAAATAATAAGCTGAATTTAGTTTCTGGATTGCAGGTGGCAGAATATCCTCCATTTTCTATTTTTGATTGCTATAAATATGATTAAGTAAATATAGTAGTAAATTATAAGTATTTATTGATTGATTTATTGCAATCAAATATGTTAGTAATTTATGTTAGTACAAATAGAGTTAGTCATTACATGGTAATGAGTAGTAGTAATAATATCCAGAAAAGTTTTGGTTCTATATAATATGTAGTTTATTGACTAACTAAATTAATTTCAAATTAAATAACAAAAATTTAAATTCAAACATTAGTTGAACACATTACATTAGAACATTCTACTGTTAACTTTGGAAGAGCGCAACAGTTTTGTTAACCATATTAGCATCATCAGGGGATGATCGACCAGCTGATTATATAGTTTTAATCATCTACTAATGCTTATAACATAGTGAAACACACGTCCAGAGTTAAAAGTAAAGTGTTTTGGAGTATTGTGGTGAACTAGTGTTTTAGTGTGCTATTGTAACTCAAGTCCAACCTTCACAGGTATTAGATTAATCACAATAAATCAAACATTTTTTAATTTATGAGTGGTTGCATAAATCCGAAAATAATTAAAAACCAAGTTTTCAAAATAGTAGATATCTAAAAAAAGATAGACATTTATAAACATTTGTTTTTGTACTATATATATTTTTAGTAGATATCTATTTTTTCACTATGCCAGTAATAAACATTTTTGTGGACTGATGATCTTTAAATAAATTAAATAATTATTATAATTATTTAGTATAAAAACATCAGTATATCACTGCAGTTCTTAACTCACAAAAAAAAAATATTAAATCTAAGATGTGGCAACGATAAAGTCGATTTCGTTTACTTTAAGAATTACGAAAAATTGTTAATTAAAAAAAATTAGGGAATATTAAAATACACAATTCAAAATTATTTTCGAATATACAAAGTGCTTTAAAGAAGTATGGCGAATATGTTTATTAAAGTATATTAACCTAATTTTTATTCTGTTTTTAGATTCTGCCTAAAATTCTAAATTCTATAACTTTTTTATATTAATCTTATAACGGTGCGTTTCAAAAGTGACACAGCCCTATAACTTTCTTAATTTTTCAAATAAAAAAAAACGAGATTTGGTATGTTAGTATATGACATAAATTAGGATTAATTGACGTATTTAGTTGTTTTTGGTAACTTCCTGT